GGGAAGGGAAGGGAAGGGAAGGGAAGGGAAGGCGCAGTTCCTTTAACTCCCTGCGCAACTTCTGCAACAAACCAAGTGCTGATGGAGCCTCTCAGCAAACCTGAGAGCTGGACATCAGGGCCTGAAATGATTCCCCAAAAGAATGGTTGGGATCTCTGCCCTTCAGGTTCCTTTAAACCAAGCAGGAATGTCCCAGCCTGGCGGTCCCTGAGCCACTCCGTGGTTTGGAAGCACAAGGCAGCATCTACATGAGCATCCCCCTGCCAGTGGCTTTACCACGCAGACCTGAGGAGGAAGGCTCTCAGAAAGGACCATCTTGTGCACCATGCGGGGTGAATGCAAAGAGGAACACCGAAGAGATCTCCATCCCAAGGACAGAGCAAGTCCTGGGGACATGGAGTACACCCTCAGGACAAGGTCCTTATTCTTGGAAAGCAATAACATCCTTGGAAAGGAAAAGCTAAGGACACAACATCTCCATGGGGATGGCTGGATTGCCTTGGGCTTAGCGGCACCCCATCCCAGCCCCATTGCTGTGCCACCCCCTGCCTTGACTAGCGTCCAGGATTGTGCAGCAGGACTGATAGAGTCAGACAGAAGCAGCCGGGACACCAACAGACGAGTCTTCACCTCACTGGGTCAGCACCCGGCCGGGCGAGACGTACTGTGCCGAGAGTGGAAAATTCCTGCTGCCTCGCCGGGCGCTGCCTGCAGCCCCAGCACACAGCTGCGTCCCACAGGACTTGGCATGCCCTGCAGTGTTTATCAACACCGTTGCGCAAGGGCCGTGGCACGCAGCTTGGCAGGGCCATGGGGCTGCTTGGGCAACCAGCTCTGCCGAAAGCCAGCACGCTCTTGGGAAAGTCCCCCCGCCTGCACGGGCGGCCAGGCACACCTGCGTGTCTGATGGCACGATGTCACCAACCTGAAGGCCATAGGGACCTGGCGGCCACCGGGTTTTCGGCATCCCGAATTCAAGGCAGTGAGCCCTGAGGTTTGCTGAGGATCTCTTCTCGTCCCTTGCAAATACGCTGGGCTGGTCCCTCTTACAAGGCACACAAAGATCACCAGTTCAGCACTGGTCCCACTGGTTTGTTGCAGCCTCGCTGTGCTGTTGAGATGCTCCATCTCGTGTGACCCTCAAAAACATGAGACAGGGTCACTCCTTGAGGCGCTGTTCAACTGTGGGATCCACAGCACAGATCCCAGCTCATGTGCCCATGGATGCCCCCATCTGAGACCTATCCTCATCACACATCGGTGTCCTGAGGTCCCCAGCAGCTTCTCAACACCTTTCCACGGCTCTGGATTCACCTGCAGGGCTACATAAGACCTCAGAGTTCTGGTGCCCCTTGCCCAGGGTGTGCAGCTCCCTTCTCAGCGGGGAGCATGGACACGGTGGCAGCACATCAGGATGATGCGCCAGGAGGCTGCTGAGGAGGAACAATGCCAGGAATGCTATTCTGCACTGCCAGAGACACGCTGGAGCCCAGGTACCAGCTGTTTTTGGAACCCCCAGCTGCAGCCCAAAGCCCTGCTAAAGTGGGAATGTTTGTGGGGTGGGTGCCAAAGCCTAGCCCCCCCCCCCCCCCAAGAGTGGCCAGCAGTAACCCTGGGGCATCAAGGGCTTGCAGCAGGGCTGAGGGCATAGAGACCAAGGTAGGGGCTGCCCACCATGGGGACGCATCCAGCAGAAGAATCCTAAATTTAGGGTCCCCCTGACCCTTCCCCAGGCCCGCCGGCAGCTGGAGGCGCAGCGCAGAGCAGGCTTTGCGTGAGCCAGCCAAGATGTTCATCGGAGCAGAGGCATGCATAAACATTTTGCTTAATAAAGGACTCTGGGCGAACACAGTGTACTCTGGCTCCGTGCAGTGGGAACAGCTGTGGCCCTGCGGGGCCAGCGCAGGGATGTCGAGGCGCGGTGGCAGAGCGACCTCGTATGGCAACAGCACAGTCAGCGGGCACCGCGAGCCACGGGACACCGCAAAGCATCCCAACCCCGCACCCATCTGGCACCTCAGCCCGATTTTGGGATGCGCATCGGGATGCTCTGAGAACTGCTAGCAGAGGTTGAGCCAAGGATGCGGCACGTGAAGCAAATCTCGCTTTCCATCACTTGTGGCTTGCTGCAAATCTGATTTCCAAGAACGAAAGCAGCTCGGTGCACACTGCATTTCTACGAACGCAGCTCCTCCTGGGGGCGATGGGCTGAGTCCAGCCCGTGCTCCCTCACATGGGGTCTTCGGGGGAAAAAGTTCCACTCCGTAGCTCTGGATATGCGCTCAGTTCGGGTGCGGGGATCTGGAGCAATTGCAGGGGATTCCTCCCTTCACTCCGCGTGCTGCACCGCGGTTATTCAACAGGCACGGAGCACAGCGGGCAGCCGGGCTCCTGGCGAGCCAACAGGGAGACACGACAGAAACGCAGGGCACAGCATCGCTCAGCGGCGGTGAGGCTAACGGCAGGCACCAAGGGACCTGCAAACTTGGTGGATTTCTATTTCTTTTAATGGGAAATAAAGCGTCCGAGGCGCTGTGCTTCAGTCCCTTCTCTCTTCCCCCACCTCTGCACTGTTCTATATAAAGTGTTTCCTCTCGTTTTACTGATAAATATTAAGCGACTCAGTTTGCAAAGGGAAGAATGACTCTGCTGGACTTCCTTCAATTCCCTGAAAGCTTTCTTTTTCTTTTTCTGCACCAGGGAACAGATCAGCACAGCCTCTCTGCTTCCCACCATCCGCCCGCAGCTCCTTGGCCACTCGGTGTTACCACACCACACCACAACCAGCAGAACCACTCCACCTTTCCACGCATTCTTGCTAATCTCTCGTGCTGATTGAAGCCGTTGCTAATGACGAAACGTCTGAGGATAACGACAGGCAGAAGTAACAGGGAAGTGAGGACCTGAATCATGCTTTTCTTCCACCTCGCTGGGCGGTGCGCAGGGATGTGGGAGCTCTGCTGTGTGTTTCCCAGCTCTTTGCTCTTTGCTCTTTGCTGCTTGATTTTTAATCAGACTGCAATTAACCAGCTTCTCAGTGTGCTTCTGGGGCACCAGTTGCCTGTTGGTTAATTTTACTCGTTGAAATACAGCCTTCATTTTGATCTGAGACCTCCTGGTGCGTTATTTCTAGAGCATCTTCTATCTCATTCCTCCATTTTTCATGGAAATGGAGCTCCTCTGGAATGCCGTGAATTATGGTAGCTGCTCTTGTGGCTTAGCTCCCAGAAAGCTCAGAAGCAGCTCGAGCTGCCACCCGGGGCAGCGCTGGCACACAGTGTGATTGGCGCTGAGTGCACCGGTGTGCATTGCACAGCTGCTCTGATGAAGACAAAAATGAAGGGAGACACATTGCACAGAGAAGGATGCTGCCTGGGGGAGGTCACTACTGTGATGGCAAAGGGAGCAGGGATCTCAAGAAGTCAGCTTGCTCATACCTCTCTCTGCCAACACTTGGGCAGGACTGGAGGGGGAAACAAGGGCAAACCTGAAGTAAAAAGCTGCCAAGAGCGGCACTGGGCTGGAGATCAGGAGGGATGCTCTGTCTGTGCCTCCTTCCACAGGACAGACCTCACTGCTCTGGCGTGGGCAGAAGCCTGGGGGCCATTGGCCTTACCCAGGCTTGGCTTACCAGCTCGGCTCTGGGGAGCTCTCCCCACTGCCAGCTCCTGCTGTGGCAACACGAAGCTGCCAGCAGATTGCACAGCCCAAGTTTTAACACGCCCTGGCTCACCGTTTCCTCCAAGCAGGTAACTCTGGTGCTGCACGTGATGCAGGCAGGAGAAACACCTTTCTAACCTTGCCCTGTCGTAATCTGAGGGTGTGTGGGCGCTTCGATACTGCAGGGGAAAGTGCAAAGGCCACCTGAGGGCTGAGATAAGGCACCTACACAGCGATCCCAGCCACAGCAGGCAACAGCCAGCAGGCACCCTGCTTTGTGCTGATGGGGCAGCGCTGGGAAAGGGAGAAAAAGGGTCAAAAACAGAGTGGCTTAATGAAATCAGCAGGGGACAGGTGTTCCCCTGCCCTGGGAGGGACTGCTTTGCTTTTTCGCAGGAAAAGCAATGTTTGATAACAGCTGGTCTAAAAATATCTCTGTGTTGTTATTATGGCTTTGTTTTCTCTCTCAGCTCGGGCTCTGATGGGGCAGAGGTCACCCAGCATCCCCGTAAGCAGTGTGTGCTGTGGGCTGGTGCTGTAAACGCCGACATAACAGCCATAAAAGGTTTTCCTCGGAAGAGTTTATCATCGAGGTGAGGGGAAGGAGCTGCAATATCACAGAATCACAGAACGGCCTGGGCTGGAAGGGACCTCAAGGATCACGAAGCCCCAACCCCCTGCTGCATGCAGGGCCACCAACCTTCACGTTTAACACCAGCCCAGGCTGCCCAGGGCCCCATCCGACCTGGCCTTGAACACCTCCAGGGATGGACGGGGCATCACAGCCTCTCTGGGCAGCTGTTCCAGCACCGCACTGCTCTCATAGTACAGAACTTCCCCCGGACATCCAACCTCCATCTGCCCTCCCTCAATTTCCCCTTGTCCTGCTGTCATCTCCCCTTTCCAAGAGTTGATTCCCCTCCTGTTTGCAGGCTCCCTTTAGGAACTGCAGGCTGCACTGAGGTCACCCCGCAGCCTTCTTTTCTCCATGCAACAGGGGCGCTGCTTCAACACCCTCTTTCAGACACCACGGTTGTTTGGTTTTGTTTGCTAACTCCCAGTACCCAGGAGCTGAAAAACCCCTGCTTTGCTCAGGGGGCGCTGAGGCCTTGCCCTGCTGCCCTGAGCTGGGGGTGCCCCAGGATACGGGTGGGCCCCGAGCGGTTGCGAGGCACCCGGCTCAAGGCTGTGGATGGACACGAAGGCGATCCACCCTGAGAGCGCGCCACACATTCCGCCATGTTACCACCACCACCCGTCACCGAGGCAACGCCCCCCCCCAACATGGCGTCGGCGCCGCGCCTCGCTGACGTCACTTCCGCCGGCATCCAAACCCCGCCCTCTCCCGCGCGGGGGGCGCTTCCGAGGAGCGATGGCGCTGTCGCGCGTGGAGCGGTTCGTGGTGCTTCTGCTGCGCCTCGTGTCCCGCGCCTGCCTGGCGCTGCTGGGATTGCTGCCCGCGCCGTCACGCACCGCCAGCCCCGCGCCAGGGCGCGCCGTCCCGCCGCCCCGCAGCGAGCTACTCCTGCTACCCGCCCGGGAGTTGGCGCGCCGCTTGCGGCTCCGGCAGGTGCGTTGCGGGGGATGTCCGGGTTATGCGTGCTGTTGGGGTCCCGTGTGGCGGTAGGAGCCCCGCACGGCCCCCCGCCGACCGCCCCGCACCCCGTCGTTGCTCGCAGGTGAAGTGCATCGAGGTGGTGGAGGCGTACGTGGAGAGGATCAGGGAGGTGAATCCGCTGATCAATGCCGTCGTCAAGGACAGGTAGGGCTCTGAGCACTCGGTGCTGGGAGTGCAGACGGCCCCGGGAACTCGTGGGGAAGCCTCTCCCCGTGCTGCTCTTGCTGGTTTGTCACAGGTTTGAGGAGGCCCTGCAGGAAGCACGCCAGGTGGACCAGCTCCTGGCAGAGGGCCGCACTGATGACAGCCTGGAGAAGTACCCCTTCCTAGGGGTTCCCTTCACCGTTAAGGAGGCTTTCTCCTTGCACGGTGGGTTTGCTTCTGCTCCTTTTGCAGCGAGCTGCTCCCTTGCGAGGAGCCCAGCAGGGCAGTGACCCCATCCTCTTTGCAGGGATGCCCAACACATCCGGCCTGGTGAAACGCCGCTGTGTCATTGCTGCCACGGATGCCGTCGTGGTGGGGCGGATGAAGCAGGCGGGCGCCATCCCGCTGGGGGTGACCAACTGCAGCGAGCTGTGCATGTGGTTTGAATCCAGCAACAAGGTGTACGGGTGCACCAACAACCCCTACGACCTGCAGCACATCGCGGGCGGCAGCTCAGGTGCGAGCAAAATCCCTTTGCTCTGTTTCTCAGCCATTGCAAACGTGTGGGTGCAAGGGGAATGTCTGCCGTGGGGTGCTGTGCTCTGTAAGCCACTGTCTTTGCTCTGTTTTCTGCCCTGCAGGTGGGGAGGGCAGCGCTCTTGCAGCCGCCTGCTCCGTGATAGGAGTGGGCTCCGACATTGGAGGCAGCATCCGGATGCCGGCGTTCTTCAATGGTGTCTTTGGCCACAAACCTACGACAGGTGACGCATGGAGGAGGAGAGTTGCGAGAGAACAAGCAGCTTCTTGCACGGGGCAGACTTGCTGTGTGAGCAGAGTAATGGGAAACCGCCCGATGGCAGAGCCTCAAGTGCAGGGGAGGTGGGAGGTGCCCCAGCCTCGGCGTGGGATGTGTTCCCAGGGCAGGGCTGCGCTGCGTGGGTATTTTCCTGGCAGCAGGGATGCAATGCACATTTGGCTGGGGTTAGGGGTGCTCGGCTCTGCCAGCCAGCTGCTTGCCCTCTTTGTTGCATGTTGGCGTGGGCTGCAAATACCCTGGTGAGCACTGCTGCAAGCACCTCCGAAACCCAGGGTACCGTTGTTGTCCTGAGGGCACCATTAGAAACACTGCAGCGTCATTGCAAAAGGCTGGAGGAGCATTGCAAGCACCCCCAAGAGCACCACTGCAAATGCTTGCAGTGGCATTGCAAACCCCAGAACACCGTTGCAAACCCAGGGGCACCATTGTAAATCCCCAGAGTGGCCCTGGGGACATCACCACAAACAATTGGAGCAGCATTGCAAACCCCAGGGCACCTTTACAAGACCCGGGGGCAGCTCTGCAGGCCTGTTGCATGCAACCCCTGAGCTGCAGCGTGGCGGCAGGAGACCACAGTCCCGCACTTCTTGCTCTATCTTGCAGCAGTAGCACTGGGACGTGGCATGCAGTGACCGACCCCTCTCCCCCTGCTTGCAGGAGTGGTCCCCAATGATGGGCAGTTCCCCATTGCGCAGGGGGTGCGGAGAAGCTTCCTATGCACCGGGCCCATGTGCCGCTACGCTGAGGACCTGGAGCCGATGCTGCGGGTCATGGCTGGCCCTGAGGTGCACAAGTAGGTTGCTGGCAGTGCTTCCAGCTGCACTTCCCGTTTGGAACCGGCTGTCCTTTTGTTTTCTGCTTGCTTTTTTCCTGTTGTCGCATCATGTTTTTCCATTCCGACCACCGTTTGGTCGCCACGCAGCTGAGCGGTGCTCAGTGTGCATGCATGCGCCAGCAGGAGCGGAGTGCAGGCAGGGCAGGTCCTGCTGCTTGCTGCAGTGCTGCTGCCTCAGCATTTCATTTCTCCTGCTGCAGTGCAGAGCTGCAGTGCTGTCCTTAGCCGTGGTGTCCCAATGCTGGGTGCATTGCAAACGATGAGGCGTTGCAGCAGGGCTGCATTTGCAGAGCCACGGTGGGAAAAGTGGGGTGAGCGGGTAGATGGGGAATGGGCAGCACCATCATGTCCTCAGGGCATTTCCATGCCTGTGAGCAGCTCCAGAGCACGGAGTTGCAAAGTGCCCCGTTCCCTTTGCAGGCTGAAGCTGGATGAAAATGTGTCACTGGAGAAAATCAAGTTCTTCTGCATGGACCACGATGGCGGCTCCATGTTTGTGTACCCGGTGGAAAAAGAGATCCTGCAAGCCCAGAAGAAGGTAGGAAGGAAAATGTGCAAGGACAACTTTCTGCATTGCAGCAGGAGCACAACACCCTTGCAAGCAGCACTTATAACTGTGTCCAAAGCATTGGGTGCAGTTTCTGTTGTAACAGGAGGTGCAGAATGCTCTCTGGCCCACTGACCTCCCCCCAGCCCCGATCTCCGTGGGTTTCAGCTGTGTGTTGTGTCCTGATAGATGCACACCCCTCCCTCTGTCCCCACCAGGTGGTGGAGCACCTGGAGAGCGATCTGGGGGTGCAGGTGCAGCGGGTATCCATCCACAAGATGAAGTACTCCTTCCAGATCTGGTCAGCCATGATGTCCTCGCAGGACAGCGACGGGACGGTGGGTGACACGTGGGGGGGCCCAGGGGG